TCTTTCGAAGAGCCGCTTCGTACCGAGGTCATGTCAGTGTTGGTCGCTAAGATCTCAGGCAGACATGTAAGGCGCGTCAATGATGCCTCCCACACATGGGCTGCAGGCCTTTTCCCCATCTCCGAGACGCAGACTTATGATCAAGTCATGGCGTGCACGCGTCAAACGGGCGAGTTCATGCCCAACATGCGTAACATGGTACCAGAACATGTTCAGAGCATCTTTCAAAGAGCCCATTTCACTGTTATCAGCGAGTACTTCTTGAATACGATGACCAGAGTCGTAAAGACGAAGATGTTAAGCTCGAAAGAGAAGGATGAAATCGTCTGGATTGTTTCTATGCGAGATGGCGTCGATCTACCCAAGTACAGCTTCGACCAGAAACTCGTCATTGCGCTGCTGGACCCACAACCACTACCGAGTATGATGCTTGCACGAGATGATGATGTGTCTCCAGAGGACCCGATGCAATGCGATACGGTCGATGTTGCTGCGGCTTCTCCAGCGTCTAGTGCCACAGTCACGGGGACTGCGACCGTGACCGCGACGGACCTTCAGCCCCATGCTCCATTCCAATTCAACTCCAACCGTGGGACAACTTCGGATAATACACCGTCACCACCCAGGTCCCCGCAATGGCTCGACGACTTCTTCGTAGCATCTACGACCCAAATTCGATGGCGCGATCCCTGCGCGCCACCCAAGCCAGGCGACGCCCAGAAAGCTTTCGCAGCTGTGCTAATACACAAATGCGCGACTTGCAACGACGACAGGCTGCTCACGGAGAGGGAACTGGAAAGACACGATGCTGAACATGAGCACACTGGAGATTGTGATATCATTGGCTGTAAGAGGCGCTTCTGTGCTGGGAAACGAACTAAGGAACATGTTGGAGGATGTCAAGATCATCTATTCAGTCATTGAGGGCCAGGTTTGCGAGTTCATCCCATTCAGCCTCACTATATTCGCCGACATCGGTACAAGAGTTCTTATCTCCGTGTGTACTCGGCTCATATGCCTCTGGCTGCTCCTCTTGCTCCAGCATACGTTCATGCGCTAGTCGTCTTACCTCCATATCAGTCGCTCGATGCCGCCAATGCTCGAAGTATCCTCGCATCTCTAGAGGTTCTAGCTGCCCGAGCACATGACGGGACCGATAACCAGTGTCGATCATGTTCAGCCGACAGAAGTAACGCATATGATTTGGACCGGTGTGTCTTAGTGTTGCTGTTATTCCGACATCTTGGAGTGCCTAGACATGCGTAGCGGTGTGATCCGATCGCGCACGGTTGGGTAACTTTGCGCGGTCATCTCCCATGCCCTCTTGTCCCATTTGATGATGGGTGTAGATGGTGAAGCTGCGCAATCTCGGCAATACTCCAGTGGCTTTTTGTGTGACGAGATGAGTCAGGAGACGGTCAAAGTCCCAGCATGTACCTCCGAGCGTAAGATGGGTTAATGTCTTCGGCAATACGCCAAGTTCGTAGTCAGGCTCAGATCCCCATGCCTTCCATTTAGGCGTCATCAATTCATCGGCGCATGTGGTCACGTGTGTGAGGTGAGCGTACTCGCTCAAATCGAAAGTCCGATGCCTGTTGACAGAGTCCCATAGCCCACCGAAAGGGATCTCCAGCTTGTTCAACCGCGTTTTGAGTCGCTTTCTGATAACCTCTTTTAGATAGGGCCGACAGCGGTGGGCGTCTGAAGAAGCTAGATCTGCGGTGGAGGCCGACGTGTTGAAAAACACTGGATCGAAGAAGCGGATATCACCATGCGACAACCCTCCTAGCAATAAGCGCTGTATGTTGGGGAGCTGTAGTAGGAGAAGAGCCATGTCTGCCTGAACGTTCTTTCGACGCAAGTCATACTTTAGCATCCGCTGGAGGCGCCTTGTAATGCCGGACGACCTCATGATAGGCTTATAAATACCCCGTTCCTTCCCTCGAGATTTGCGCTCGGAAGCGCGCTCGTCGTGGGTGTCGGCGTCCCGGAAAAGGTCAATGCTCCTGACTAGTTGCGCGAGCTTGGGTTGGGCGGCATACAAAGAGACGAGTTTGTGTACTTTAGCTATGTCGACGCACACATCTTTATGGAGAACGTCTACTACGATATCGTCTATAAGGTGTCAGTGAGACGGCAAGCTGGACGTCATTCTAGCATCCACTTACAAAAGCGCTTACACACCATTGCCAGCGAGACGAGTTCCGCGCGTCGGTCCCGAGGTAGACGAGGCAGATGGTCCGTGATATCGAGCAACAACTCGTTAGGTAGTGCGAAGAGATATGCCGGCATTGCGAAGTAAGAGGTGCACTATCGCGCGAGGTTATTTACCTGTTTAGCGAGGTATGGGTTGCTGGAAGGGTTGCTCCAGCGGTGCATGATGTGAGTCATGTGGTGTGACTGTACGGTCGTTTGAGAATGAAGAAACGACGCTTGCCGCTCATATGAGTCGTCGTGAGTGGTGAGGAGCTGACGTGACTGTGACTTCCTGAACTGTGAATGGGAAGGCTTGGCTCGCTTGAGGTCAATCACGACTGCCACACAATGATCATTCATCAACAAAGGAGCAATCAACAAAGGAGCACAAAGGGTATGTAAGACGTCTACTAGTATATTTTCATGCATCTAGAATAAACGGAGACAAGTCACGTACATCTCAACAGCTTGCGTGCTGCCAACTACGCTTCGTCAAAACGTCTACGCACCCGGACCATGACACTAAACGTCAAACTATAGCGATACTCGCATGATGAGACTCTTCCCAGAATCATCACTGCTACTTAGCGATCTCTGTGCAATCGTCACAGCAAGCTTATCGCGCTCAGTGCGGCGAACAAGCGGATCGACAGGATGGCGATCCGTCAACTACACTCCAGGTTCACACTGTCACTTGAAGACACCGGAACATCACTGGGCTGACACCGAAGTAGACAGGTATTACAATCTCATAACAAATCTAATCATATCTCTACAAATACACCGCCGACCACTACAACCAAACTGATCCCTTACAACCCACTAAGCCCAAGCGCCAACGCACCAAGCACACTGTTCAGCAACGCAATAACACCCACAAGCACAACATTAAGCACCAACTGAACCGCTAGAATCAAAAGACTCAACGCGCTCGTCAACGGGTTGATAAACACCAAAAGCCCAGCGAGACCCAAAATCGCCACTGCAGCGGTAATCGTAGCAAAGATCTCAACAATGATGAGCGCGAGAAGGGCGCCAGCGGCGATCAACTGACGCTTCTCCTTGGGCTGGGAGACGTCGACGAGATCGGTAGAGGTAGACCGCTTCTGGTTGTCTTCGGCTGGCACCATGGGCTGCGTAGCGTTTGCAGGAGCGAGATCGCGGATTTGCGTTGTCGAATCTGTGATGGCGGCGGTGATCTTGTTGAGTTGCTCGCCTACTTTGGGGATTGCGGCCGTCTTTTCGAGAAGAGATGAGGATGCGGAGAGGGGCGCAAGGGTAGCATCTAAGATGCATTTGTTAGTATAATGCAGGTGATGGGTGGTTTGTTTTGGCTGATGGCTCAAAAGGGGAGGGGCGTACTGATGGCTCCGGTGTAGACTTGCACCGTGGCGAAGAGGTCGGTGAGGAGGGATTCTACGCTGCTGCTTTCCTGGCGCTTTTGCTGGACGACGGGGCTCGCGAGCGATAGGCCGCTCAGGGCGAAGACGGCGAGGTGGGAGAAACGCATTTTGGTGTTGGTCGTGGTGAAAACTATGAAGATAGTGAGAGAGGTAAAGTATACACAGGAACGAAACTGAGCGAGTGAATTTTAGTAGAGACTGGTCAATTTCAACGAGAACACGATACCTCTTATACGCCCCTATAGTATTACCTGTAGTACCCTCCCCGAGTACAAACTGGTTTACAGCATGACAAGAAATCTCAACGCCTAGTTTCGCATGAGGAAATGCTCGTCATCGTCATTTCCTACATTGGTACAGGTTCCGGGTATGCGGTTCGGAGTGTTGTCTCGATGCGGCCAGGAGTGATCGTCATAGGCGGACCTGGATCTATTGATAATATACATCCTTGCTGTATATCGCTTCTACCCGCTTTTGTTCCTGCGCCAGAGAACCTCGATCTTTCCAGGAACGCCATGGGCTTTTTGTGTTGGTAAGTATGCGAGGATACTGGTGTTGCGGCTGGATATTGGGCTTCTGGAGGATGTGACGCGATTGCCTTTCGTACTGCGCGTGATAAACTGCTGTGGGGGCAGGTACGTGCCTCCGATTTTGCGTTTCACATCGTTTATCAACCGCTCCATTCAAGAAGAAAACCGTTGCGTACCATCACGCTTGTAGCCGGTATGCCGCACGCCATCATGTGCTATAGCGCCGTATACACCGTTTATACCTACTCCGCGGACCTTGTACCATGTCCGCCACGTTCGCTAGGCTGTGAAGGAAAAGGAGAAACAGCGTCATGGCAGAACCAGAACGTCAATGTCAAGACTGGCAAACCTACAAGCCTCAAACACCGGTGGTAGAAACCCCTGGAGTCAATTGCTCATTGGCTGCGCGCAACTCCATTAGTGCTTCCTGATATCCGGCATCCCTGTCTCCGCTCTTGCTCTACGCGAGGTGATGGATGGGTCTGTGCGGTTCATGCGATGATGGCGTGGCTGGTGTTGTTCTGATCGAGTAGTGCGCGGCGTGAGAGACTCAATCTCAAGATACTGTATAGTATGGTGAACGATGCAAGATCTTCATTGATACGCCTACGGATGCGCCTACGAATGCTATGTTTGCAAAACGCCCTGAGGATAATGACCCTCACCCACCTTTGATATCCCGTCCCGTTCGTCATGTACAACCCTTCCATGCTATCCTCCTTTTGTTCATCAGTCATGTCCATCTAATCTAACGAGAGCCTTTTCGTCTCCCAAGCCCACGATCGCGACCTATACACTCAAACGAAAGATGCAATGATTTGCCATTCAGGGGAACACGAATCCTCCTGCGTATTGTAGGATTTTCGTCTGCTCAGTCTTCGCCGACGAGCCTGATCTCGGCAACTTCATCATCTTGCTGTGCGACGGGTGTGCCGACACCACCCCAGCCATTCTTGACACCGCCATCGTCATCAAAGTCTTGCATCCTTTCGCTCATCTCTCCATCACCTACGGAACCCATCGCTCCGGTATCAGACGCGGCACCGTCATCATCCGAGTCGTTACGGCGATCCATGTTCGCACTGCCAAGGCCGCTGAAGCTCCAAGCTGGTTGATCAGCGTCCATTTCCCAAGGAGTGGACGTGTAAGCACCGTCATCAGCGTAGCCCTCATCGTCGCCATAGGATGGTAGCTCATCATCGTCACTCTGGCTCCCGGCTGCGACTCCGTTCTTTGGACGGTTCGCGGCTGCTGAGTGCTGATAACCACCCCCGCGCAGGGCTACGGCTCCCGCTGCGACTGCGCCAGCGCTCGACGACCCATTGCGGGACGAATCGTCGAGGCGCAAGCCGTTTCCCGCCGGTGACCGAGAGCGAAGTTGTTGGTCGTCTGCATCTTCATCAGAGTCGGGATTGCTGTTGTCGCCGGTTACAATTTGCTGAAGAGAGGGAGGGCCTAAAGGGACGGGGGAACGCCGGCGGTAGAACAAAAGGTAGGCGTTTCTCGATACGGCCTTGCGGCCGGATTCACACCGAGACACTATGGAGTCTAGTGAAGTTAGCATCAATGTGACTGTGTGTAAAGGATATGCGGTCGGTAAAGCTTACCATTGTAGTCGTACCACTGCTTGTCGAAGAAGTTTTGAGCAGTGGCCGTGTAATGACCGCCTCCAAGCCCACCGTAGTGATTGTCGACTGCGAAGAGATCATAGGTGAGATCCTTGCCTTCAGGGAAACCGACTTTGCCGGACAGATCTAGTCCCTCTACAGGGAAGTCAACCAGATCTTCGATCTTGTCTCTCAGGTTTCTCGCCCCGCTAAAGCGCTTCAGATGGATAATCAAGATGTCAGGAACTGTCCAGATTTCGAGTGTCTTTGTCGCCCTACGCCTCTCCTTGCAACGGCTGCAATACCATGCGTTATCTTCGGAAAGAACCTCGCTCTTAGAAGATTCGACAAAACATTCATCAAGATTGATGCCGTTTTTGCGACGAGCTGCGCGCCTCTCTTTCTTTTCGCGAAGCTCTGTGTCATCGAGAACCTCTATGTTCTTCATGACGTCCGCACCTCTGTCATCGTCCGTCGTAGAGGCGCCAAATAGAGCATCATAGGCCTCGGCATTCCAATCAAGGACAAGGGCCTCGCCCATTCGGAGCAATCTCTCATCCGACTCGTCGTCAGGTTCGTCAGGGTAGTTCGGCTGGTCTGGCACTTTGCCTGCTTTCTTACTCTTGAAGTTCTTGCTGTTTTTGTGCTTTCGCTCCATTTTGCGCTCATGCTTCCGCGCTTTCTTGCTCTTCTTCTTGTTCTGACGGCCCGAACGGGCAAACTCTTGTGCTGCCGGCTCGACTGATTGCATTTCCTCGTCGCTGCTGACGTTGGCGGCATCAATCGCTGCGTCGGCGTCGACAATCGTGGACTGTGACACGTCCTCGTCTTCGTCGCTAGACGTAGTTTCGCTTCCAGCAGCGGACGATTGTACAGACTCTTCTCGAGCTGGTGGTATCCTGACTCGTTTGGTGATAGGCTCAAGTGGCTTCGAATAATCGACGGTACTCCAACCTGTAGTAACAATCTCTGAGCTCTTTCGTGTGTGCTTCATCTCGAAAAGTGCCCTGTTCTAAGTCAGTATTTTGCTGCGCGAATCCAAGGTCGGTCCCGGAGCTGCGACCTTGCGTCACAAGCTTCGCCTGGAACTAGCTTGTACGTACCTGAACTCCGGATGAATGTAGCTACCCGGCCGAAGTACTTCCGGAACCTGGTTAGCCTCATCGACTTGAGCGAAACGCGTATCCTTTGCATCCGTCATCGTCACCTCCACAATGTCCTCGCCCTCAACAGAACCGTCATTGATTTGTGGATCGTTTGGCGACGCATCTTCTTCTGTTGTCAGTACAACATCAGACCCAGGGCGGGATTGTTTTGGTCCGCTGAGCTCACTAAGAATCTTGCGACTAGTCATCCCAGCGACTCTAGACAGAACCTTCCTCAGGATTGTGTCGTAATCCTTGGCTTCCTCCCGAGTGAGAACAATGAAGCTTGGCCATAACGCCATAGACTGCCCCGTGGCTCTATACGAGGATGTGCTTGGGATGCGGTGGAACAATGGAAAGATGACGCGATCGTGGAGTGGTGAAACGGTCTCCGGAATCTCCTCGTCGGAAGATTGCGAAAGCGTCATCCGGTACTTGGCGCCCTTCTTCTTAGGTGCAGGCCAATTACTTGGGGCCATTTCTAACTCGTAAAAATATATTTCGTCCCGTGCTCCTATATTCGACTCCGCTATCGACGATGCATCGTCCAAGTGTCGATAGTATTTGTGACTATACACCTCGGACGCCATGATACGGTTGGCTGGAACGCCGCCGCAGCGCTTGCCGACGAACTCCTTCAAGGCTTTGATAGTGGCATTTTTGTCAAAGTCAAGCTCGATTCGACAAGGCTTCCCGTACAATGGCACGTATGTGACGGTATGGGACCAAGACTGCTCTACCGGCAGCTGCAGTGTAAGCTGGCTGTATGGGTCGAACGTGATGCTGACCTTCTCGCAATCCGGACAAACCATGGTGTTCTTGTAAAAACCACTAAACAAGTCCATGGCTACAGAATCGTTCCGAGCTCGGTGGTTCTCCCGATAGACCTCGCCGAGTTGCTTGACTGCCTCAGGGTCCCGGAAGGTATTGTCATCGGAATCAGGGTTCTCTCGGTACGGCTTTTTGTGTATACGGTTCAGATCTTCGTGGAGCGCATCGACTAGCCAGCTGACGAATTCTTGAGAGTCCTGTTGGCCATAACCAGAAAACATGGGATTCGCCCTACCAAGCTTGAGTTTGAAGTCTTTGGGCGAGACAGATGAGCTGTTGTCGAAGCCATAGATGGAGCTCAAAAGACCAGCGTACGACTTGGCAATTACACCTTTGAAGCCTATGGGGTTGTCGATGTTGACCTCGTCTTTCCATTTGTTATTCAGAAAGTACATGCTCAACTCTTCGACACTCCGTAGACATTGGAGAGCGGAATTCATGTAACAGGTGTTGCCAAGGTTCGTAAGTCCCACGTGGCCACGGACTTTGCCATTCTGCTTTCTTCCGCGCGTCATGGGGCCTCCCGTTGGAGTGCTCCTACCACTGTTGGGGTTGCTCTGCAGGCCCTTGCCAGTCAGGGCACCAGCCTTGTTCTTGGGAGCTGTTTTGGTGGTGTCGGCAATGTATTCACCCTTGTCGTCATGCTCCTCAAGTACAATGATCTGGTCCTGGGTCAGACCAGCGTCAGCCAAAGTCAGAGACGCGTTGAACGTCTCATTGGCCGTCTCGTCTTTGCCTGTGACCAGCTCACGCTCTGATCCAAAGGCAAGAGCACTGAAACTGTCGGCCGCCATAACGAGTGTAGGCCGTTGCGTGGGTGCGGGTGTAACAGGAGATCCGTTCTGGGGAGACGCGTCGGGTGTTAATATGCCAGATGGCTGTGTTGCCTGTGGCTGGTCTGTAGGAGCGGGCGTGAGAATGCGCCAAATGCGAACTTTGTTGTTGGGGTCAACGCCTGCGGCTTTCTTGGCAGCGTCGACAAAGGCTACAAAGCTCTCGTAGCGGCTCGCGACGAACCTTGCGGCTGGTTTCGTGCTGTCAGCGGCGTTGGGAGTTTTTCGCACTTTCTGGATGGTAAAGATAGGAGGGTGCAGCTCGTAAGAAATATCCTCGCTGACTTGGCCCGGTACCGTGTTGTGGGCGTAGCGGCGTATGACGGGACTCGACTTCTCAAGCCCGTACCAGCTAAGGACCAGATCCCACGCTTTGCGGGGCACAATCTCGAAGTCTTGGCCCATGGTTGTCTCCTTGCTGAGCGCGACGAAGTCATCGCCATGCTGGTCGACCAAGTTCTCGTGCGCTAGTTCTGGGTCGACGAGGTGCGAGTTGTCGACAGGGCCCACGGGACCCAAGGTCGCGTTCCTGCTGAAGTCGTTGGGCCTGCCTCTGTTCTCCGACGTCCTTGCCCACACGCGCTCTAGCCACTGTTCGGAAATAATGTAGCCCTCCTGCCCTTCCACAAGGGCCTCGCTCGACATCATGCCCATGACGCGAGTCACCTGCACGTCGATGTCTGGGAGCCCCTGCTGCTCAGTGGCGTCATCGTCGCCGTCGCCGTCGGGGCTGCTGCCGGCGGGCGCGTCGGCCATCTCTACGGAAGTTGCGCGTGCACTGCGCTGTGGTGTGCTGGTAGGCAGGGGCTTGCTGGCGCGGGCGGCCGAGGGCGCGTCGTTGGTGCGCGTGCCGTGTGCGTCGGGCTTGTCGTCCATGTCGGAGTGGAGGCGCTTAGCGGGTGAGGATGCGCGTGGAGGGGGCCGTTGAGGATGTGCTTCGGTGGTGCGTGTGCGGTCCAGGTCGGTGACGGAGCCCTCGCGGCTGTCGAGGGTCAAATTGGCGTAGGCTTCGCTGGGGGAGCTGGCCCCGGTGTAGCTGTCTCGCGCCGAGAGCGTGCCTGGTTCGGGCGTGTCGACCAGGACTTCGTCGTGCAGGTGCGGTGGCAGATAGCGTGGCGGCGATGCTGAGGGTTGCGGGGAGGAGCGAGGGGACCCTACACCGACGCTGCCCACATTCGGTGAATGCGTGCCGTCGCCGTTGGACGAGTCTCGTGCGGGGACCACGATCTTCCGCTTCTTGTTATTAGTGGAGGCCGTTTTGAAGCTGATTGCCTACCGTGAAGCCCGCGAAGAGCTTCAGGGCAGACGGTAGAGGGCGGACGAGCGAGGGTGAAAGGGCAAGCAAAAGGCGGACAAGGACTATGCAGCGGGCCGCAGTACCTGGGCAATGGCGCCTCTTCTTCACAAACACAGTAGCACGGCGGTGAACAAACGAGGGGTAACAGCGCAATGTCCGCAAAAATCAGAGCAGCGCCGTGACATGGGCCGTCGTCACTATCGCTGTCCGACCGCTCAGCCTTGCGGACACTACCTTGGTAAGCGAGCTTGGCGACGCGGTGAATGCTCCCCCCTGTCGCGTGTCCGAAGCTGCCAGAACACCATCTGTTTGTGTTTGGTGCATGTCACAATCGCCTAGACAACACCATGGGAAACCACAGCACATGCATGTGTAGAATTCATGACGCCATGTCAACAGTCTGTATTCTGTCCGGCGTTTGGTGTTACGTATGATACAAGCGCAGCATCGCGTTTCATCTTGATCCGCCACTGTTCAGCCATGCGAAAGCAGAGGCACCGCCTACTGGATTCGCAGATCGAGGCTTCGACAGGCCAGGCATATTTTCCCTTGCTTTGTCCCCAGACACACTCCTCTTCACCGGAGGAGCCGCCGCACGGTTGCTTGCTTCGCTCTCGCCTCTGCGCTTTCCATCATCAAAGAAGCGTGACTGCCCGGTCACAGGTGATGAGTTTGACGTCGACAGAGTACGCGTGGATTTAGAAGGTTTCAATACTTTGATGCCTGTATCACGTCGCTGGTAGCTGGGATCTGAGCTGGCGGTTTTACCCACGTTGGCCCAATCCAGAGAGCCCGTGTTTGTCTTCTCCGCTTGGTCACGGCGCCAGTTGCTCCAGATGGCTTGCGGTGCTCCTGATTGTGGAGCTCCACTTACAGAGCCCGGCTCCTGAGCATCCTTGTCAGAGCGACTTGACGCTGAGAGGCCTGGCTGTGGACGCTGTTCGAGACTCCTCCGGCCACTTGACCCGCCATCCTCAGAGTTGGTCACTGGGCCTGTGCCATTCGATTTCTCCAAGGACGAATACGTCTCACGGGTCGGTGAATTGCTAGACATCTGAGTTGTGTGATGCGCGTGCGCTGAAGCCAGAGTCGAAGTAGCGCGGTTCGGATCCGTCGTAGGGGCACCGCTAGCGTGCAAGCACTTGAACGCGCGATCATCTTCAGGACGGACGAGTGGTACCTGAAGCTTGTTACGGTCATCATCATACAGAGTCAGTTGGTTGCATGAAAGAAGGAGGTCGGCATTATGTGCTCGAAGCATGTCGCTACCAAGGAAAATCTGAATGGCTTTTGGATTCACCTCAGCGTCGTGCTCCTCGATGACGGTGAAATCTACGCCTATCGAAGGAAGCTGCGGCGCCGGGCTGTCGGATCGTGAAGATGCTGAAACAGGCACAGCCTCTGGAAGGTAGACAGACAGCTTGATCTTGCGAACCCGGTCCTCGTCCAAAATGACCCGATCCTGAAAGCCCAGGTGTTCAATTGTGTACCAGTCCAGATAGGATGTGTATGAACCTGAACAGACTGCTGCATACAGCAAGGTATCGTGTTTGAAGTTGGTGTTGAGCCAGCAACGTATTATAGCAGGAACGGAGCCGAGAATGAACAAGCCAGGAGCCAGCCCTGGGACGTCTTGAGGCGTTGTCGGACCAAAGCTAGTGAGGCTGTTGGCGCGACCCGAAGCCATAGAATGCACCGACTGGCCGGCAGAACTTTGCCTTCCGTCTGACTTGTGGGAGTAGCTGCGCTCGCTCATGACATGCCCGCCTATGCTGCTACCAGTGCGGGGTATCAAATCCAGCGACGATCTCGATGCATGCGCCCAGTGACCGTGATTGGCAGTTTCATCGAAGCGGACGCTGTTCGCGCGAGATGTGGCCCCTACACGGCGGGGTTCCTCGTCGGCGTCAAGTTGGAGATTGCCGATGAGATTGCTGGACTGGTCGTCGAAGTTCGTGAAGTGTTCGGCGGTTGGCTGCTGCAGGGGAACTAACAGTTTTCAGCTAAAGATGCACAAATTCAGATGAAGCGTCTTACCCTGTTGGGGTGTTCCCCCCAGCACCGAAGGAAAGGGCGATGAAGTCCCCCAGACGTTCTTCAGACGCGAGTCGTCTTCCTGCTTGCGCTCCAGGCGGGCGACACGATCGGCGAGTTCGGCCTGGTGCTCCTGCACACGTAGCATTTCGCTTTGAAAACGCCAGAAATCGTCGCGCGGCTGGAAGGCTACGCTCTGAGGATCCATGCCCGTGACTCTCTCATCCCTTGGTGACGTGCTCAACAAAGAGACACCAGCCTTCCCGTGGGGACTCCCCTACCTTCACCACCGAGCGACCGCTGTCCAGTAGCCCAGTTCTTTTGTGGCAGTCTCTCTTGTTTAGTAGAGTAGGCGTTTGCGGTGTGCGCGGGTCTGGGTCGTCGGTTGTGAGGAATGCGTTTGAAGCCGACTATCGAGGTGTTCGGTGGGCAATTTGGAGGTAAAGGCAAGATCTGTGGAGAGATATCGGCCGTGCTACTATCTCAGACAGCAGGCGTTGGGTGTTGGGCGGTGTGATTAGTTGGACTACTGGAGCAGAAGGTACGATGGTCGCAACAGCGGTCTTTGCCGAAGATCAGGCGGTTCCCGAGACGGCGCTAGAGGGAGCGAGATAATGTACAGTGTCCCAGAAAAGTTTGAACAGGAAAGGAAATAGGAACAGGAAAATCTGACTGCTGGTGTATTCTTGCGTCCTGTTGACGCGATGCTGAGCTGAGGTTCGTCGAGTGACGCTGCTAACCACAAGCCGCCGGAGTTATGCACCCTCGCCCGATTGGACACGACTTCCCCAGAGCCCCGCTTGATCGCGCAGCTGAAATCAAGCTTGCCCACATCCAATGTCTACCACTTTTGCGCTAGATCGAAGAAGACTGAGCACTCTCCCACTGTTTCCACGCTTCCTGATCGTTCCACGGCGGCAGTACCATGGGCAGCTTCTCAGGCGACTGCAAAAGTGGAGGCACAAAGTCAGTATCTACCTCATGCATTTCATACAGTCAGAACTTACTTGATCCGGCCACTGCTCTGCGATGACCTTGATCAACTCCTGGTAGAAGATCTCGTATCCTGCTGGGTTCAAGTGAAGCCCTGAAACGTGCAGTTAGCATGGCGAGGAAACAGGAAGGTTTTGCGAAACCCTTACCATCGTACATAAGCTCCACGAGGGCGTCATTCTGCGAGACGTCTAAAGAGCCCGGGAGATCATCGCCCAGCTTCCAAATATCTGCTTTGAAGTCCGTCCTCGCCATGAAGGCTTTCCAGAGATTTACGACAGGCAGGCCAAGCTCGGCGCCAAGTTGAACGACTGCATCGGCATATGTTTTGGTCGCACCCGCCAGTCGCGTCACGCTAGCATATCCGTTCGACTGGTCTCTTGGCCACCACAGATGCTCGTTGATTGGGGGAGGAGCTACTAGGATGATACGAGGGTCGTGGGCTTTGATCTGCGGATGGGACATGATGTCCTTTAGGTTCTTGATGAACTCATCAAGAGGAATATGCTGCTTGTTTGGCGCATCTGGTAACGATGAGTCGTTGGCGCCGAAGAAGATGGTCTGTATGGTCAGTCAGGGCTGCATCTAGCATGGACAAGTCTTACCATGAACCGAATCTTAGCCTGATCCGGCGGGGGCACGATGGCGGGCAGTATCTGGAGAGCTTGGCGGGTGTTGTACCCACTGTCATGGTGTTAGCTGTCGGTGCGGTCGTAAAGGTAGGACGTCATAACCTGAAGCCGCGGTTGACTACATCAAGTCGCCTGATGTATGCTGCTGGAATCATTAGTGCCATTCCCAGTCGCCCGAGCCAATGACCGCCGCGGAAGCTTTACGAAGAGATGTTTTGCATGGGATAGTGATCGGGAGACATGATGATATTTGGACTGACCAGCTTGAAGGGCTGCAGAGAAGGCAAAGCCTCGCTCCTGGGAGAAGGAGTCCTGGGTTATGCTGTCTCCGAAGAGGAAGAACTGTTCATAGAGAGCAGGCTACAGTCATCAGCACGCAGTCCCAATGGCACTCAATGTCCAGCAGGACTCACCATCTTGAATGCTTTTAGAGAGATGTAGGCACGATCGTCGTCAGACCTTCCGGAATGTCTGCTAGTACCTTGGATATCTCGCTCGGCGAAATCCCGGTGTTCCGAAACCGGCTTTCCCGAGTTGCGTCGTCTGTATCTTCAGATCAGCGGCTCAGCAGCAGATGGATGCACGGGCGGATAAGAAACGACAGATTGGCAGCCTCTACCCCCCAATTCTCCCGACCGCGAGACGCACGTCAGTGTGTAGTGGTGGGGCTGGGGGCTGCGATTGGCGGCTACGGCATCGCGCCTTCTCCGTGTAGGGTTAGCACCTTCCGTTTGCCCTGCGTTCCGTCACCATCGCGTCCACGGGTGCACCCCAATAATCACATGGGACGCGCCTACCGCCCTTTGCGGTGGTGAGACACCTGAGGTCAGCCTCCGAGGGCTGCGCACCGCTGCCTGCTGGAGTTGCTCGAGCTGCTGCTTTTGCTGCTTTGTTCGCTGGCCGCCCTGCACACGCAAGCCGGTCTGAAACAGCTGGCGGACCCGCGGCGGAGCCTATCTCGCCCCGGACACAGGACAACAACGCATCCTGGAGGGATCCGCGGCATAGTGGGGAGCAGCCATGGTGCCCAGCCATAACATATCCATCGTGACACCGCCATCGTTTTCCGGATGACCATGATAGCGGCCTCTGCTCGGCGACATGTCTCTGGCTGCCCTCGACACTAATAGACCGCCCCTGCCCCGATTGTAGCTGCTGCCTCCCTACCCACCGCCCTCGCCATGCCCAAGTCGATGCAGTCGTACCACAGCGTCGACGACTACGACGCCGACGATGACTATGCCGCCGAACAGCGCGAGCGCGACGACACCTTCAGCAGCACCACGCCCACGTCGCCCACGCTCACCTTCAGCGCCCAGCGCCCGATGCGTGCCTCGGACACGGACCTCACGAGGTCGACGGGCAGCGTCAACGAGCGGACCGCCCTGCTAGGAGTGCCCCATCTGCGGGGGGCCAGGTCCTACAAGAGCCTGCCCGCCACCTCCCCGGGCACCCCTCGCCCGGGCATGACGCGCAACAACAGCCAGCTGCCCACCAGCTCGCGCATGCGGAGCCGCCGGGGCTCCCTCACCGGCGGCCACACCTTCAGCCAGCGCCTCGTCAATGCCCTGGGCGAGCGGGGGGCGGGCCTCGAGCAGAGCATGCACTCCGCAAAGGCCTCCTTCTTCCAGGACAACCGCGTGTGGTACGATCAGTTCACGTCGACCGACTGGGTCCACGACAACATCGCCGACGCCTACCGCGTCAAGGCCCTGCGGAGCCGAAAGGACATCAGGGGCCGCCTCGCCGCTTGGTTCGACGGTGCGCAGGGCTGGATTCTGGTAGCCCTAATCGGCGTGCTCACTGCCGTGTGCGCCTACTTCGTCAACACCACCGAGACCACGCTGTTCGATCTGAAGCAGGGCTATTGCACTACCGGCTGGAACAAGAGCCGCAAGGCGTGCTGCCAAGGTGCCTCTATATGCGACAACTGGCTCAAGTGGTCCGAGGCGGTCCGCAATGACAGGCTGGACGTCGTCCAGACCCAATATGGCTTTTTCGTCCTCTCCGTCATCTTGCTCTCCATGGCCTCGTGTCTGCTCACGCTCACCACAAAAACAGTCATCCCTTCAGCCATCTCACTATCCACACTCGACGAAAACCTCGGCGCAGAAGTCCGGAGATACTCTGATCAGGCAGAGGAAGAAGACCGCAAGCGCAGCATCAGCCCAGAGTCGAGGTTCCAGGAAGTCCAGGCACGGCCACCCATGGTCTACTACTCCGCTGCTGGCAGTGGTGTAGCCGAAGTCAAGGTCATCCTCAGTGGTTTCGTTCTCCACGGTTATCTGGGTGTACGCACACTGCTCGTCAAGACGCTGGCTCTGATCCTCAGTGTTGCATCGGGCCTCAGTCTCGGTAAGGAGGGCCCATACGTGCACATTGCGACTTGCATAGGAAACATTGCGTGTCGTATATTCTCAAAGTATAGCAACAACGACGGCAAACGCAGGGAGATTCTCAGCGCTAGTGCCGCTAGTGGTGTTGCCGTAGCTTTCGGCGCTCCGATTGGCGGAGTGCTCTTCAGTCTCGAAGAAGTGAGCTACTACTTTCCGTCCAAGACGCTCTTTAGAACCTTCTTTTGCTGCATTGTAAGTCGCTAGGCTCTCCTCTCGACCTTGCTAATCGCTTATAGGCGGCTGCGTTATCTCTTAAATTCCTGGATCCATACGGCACCAAGAAGATCGTGCTTTTCGAGGTTCGTTATCATCTAGACTGGAAGTTTTTTGAACTTGCGACCTTTGTCTTCACCGGCGCTGTGGGCGGTGTTCTCGGCGCATTGTTCATCAAAGCATCTCGCATATGGGCACGAACATTCCGTCGCATACCCGTTATCAAGAAGCATCCGCTCCTTGAGGTCTTCCTGGTTGCGCTTGTGACTGGTTTGATCAGTTTTTGGAACCGATACACCAAACTTCCCGTCACCGAACTCTTGTTCGAACTGGCAAGTCCGTGCGACACGTACACTGACACCGGCGACGGTCTCTGTCCGACTCTCGAGCATATTCCGAGCGTACTCAAAACCTTGTTCTTCGCATTTGTCATCAAAGCTCTTCTGACTGTCGTCACCTTTGGTATCAAGGTCCCAGCCGGTATCTATGTACCTTCCATGGTCGTAGGCGGTCTCGCCGGGCGCTTTATCGGCCACACTGTTCAACTTGCTGCTCTACGCTTCAACCATCTGGGCGTCTTCGGAGAGTGTTCGCCTGACGGTCCGCCAGGTTCATGCGTCGTTCCTGGAGTGTACGCGCTAGTGGCTGCTGGAGCAACAATGACCGGCGTCACTCGTCTCAGTATCACACTGGCCGTCATCTTATTCGAGCTCACGGGTAGTCTGGATCACGTACTCCCTTTCTCTCTCGGCATTCTGGTCGCCAAATGGGTGGCGGATGCCATCGAACCGCTCAGTATCTACGACCTGCTCACAGACATGAATTCGTACCCATTCCTCGATAACAAAGTTCGGCCCATCTTCACATCCGAGCTTGGTGACATCACTACTGGGAAGAGACAGGATCATATCATCGATATCTCAGAAGACGCGCTCATCCCTGCGGTCGAACTGCGTGCAAAGCAACGTGGACTGCAAATGATAGGTGAACTGGACGGCGGCCTGTCCATCATCAAAAACGGCGTTCTTGTTGGCCTCATTCCCGCACCAGATCTAGAGTTTGCGCTCGATAAGCTGGAGAACGAAGAGAACACGCTTTGCCTCATGTCACCACGAGTCGATTGGGCTGCAGGGCGTGAGCCGCAAGACGAAGAAGAGCAAGAAGCCTACGATCCAAGTGATTTCACTCCATATATTGACCCAGCACCTGTTGCATTGGATGTTCACTCACCGATGGACTTGGTATACGAATGCTTTGTAAAGCTCGGACTACGATATATATGCGTGCTCAGGGATGGCAAGTACGCTGGCCTGGTACGTATCACGTGAGAAGTTGAGATTGAGCAATACTAACTGCAAGTAGGTTCACAAGAAGACTTTCGTCAAGTACGTCAAAGAATTGGAGCATCAGGAAAAGAAAGGACGTGAGATCTAAGTCCTAGCGGCATTACATTTCCCTTCTTTGTTTCTTGCATAGCGTCATACCCTCATTATCATTCAGCGGTCTTTCCCTTCACTTTCAGTTCGTTTTCACAAGCATATACTGCATTTAGACTGGCGTTACATGGCATGTCTTCGTAGATGACGCGGTATCACATGGCAAGCGTAGAGCATACATGGAATCATTCATTCAAAATGCTCACAGAATTGGTTCACAGCCTTCATCATTGCACCCGGTGTTTCTTTTATCAACATAGCTTGAGATGCCCGACTACTTGTTCTACAATATTTCACGCACTCTACAATTTGAGGTCGATGTGGTAGTGCAGCCGTTCGCACGGTCCCTGATGTGTGCGCACGCGATCGCATCAACCTCCTATCTGGCATCGTTGCCTGAAATAATTTTCTACGCAGCTGCACATTCACTGCTTGTGGAGTCGTGACCTTGCGTCTACGCTGAATCATATCCATAGTCGAGTGAAATGTACATAAGGATCAACCTGACAATTACGACCATTACCGCTACATCTAGAAACAATCTCATCTACCCGCCTACCAGGAATCAACGCGATGCGTTTGGCCTTGTTATTTCTCCTGTTCTTAGGGGTTCTTACATTAGTACTAGCCTCCACGAATCGGTACTGTAGAACCGGATCCGAAACTGCCGCCCTCGATCCAGGCTCTATCGGCCCCCAGGAGGGTAACATGAATCACTTCAAATTTGGTATCGCGCAACCCTGGCCTCCCATCAGTATCCCTAAGAAGGGCCGGATTCGTCTCCTTCGATATTGCTTTGCGACCGCCAAGGCCAAAGCGGAACTTGACTGTCCACTCCAGAAGGGGTTCAAGATATGGGCCGACGCCATCAAGACACCAGCCAGTGCTGCGAACGGCCATTGCCTCGGGTGGATGGAGATTCATGACGGCAACGAGGATAAAAATGAGAGAATGTATCCGACCTGCTACCTCGATGACTACAACGACAAGAAAGAGCCTGGAACGTGGAACCCAAAGGTGAGCGCGGACGCTCTAGCAATACACCTTGGGGCAGAAGAAGAAGCGCCATACGCTAGCATTGGGTATGATCATCGCAAAACCACCGCTGGCCGTCATTACATAGTCATGGGCTCGAAAAGCACCGAGCCACATCGGGTAGCCCACGAAGTAAGTCTCCATGTTGCTGGTCGAACACACCTCGTCTCCAAGTCCGCTAACACGAGAGCCAGATCGGCCACGTCCTCGGCATGGCTCACGAACACTGCCGGTTCGACCGCGACGAAAACGTCCTTTTCCGCTGCGACAAACTAGTAGGCTACAAAGACGCCCTCATCGCCGCCAGCGTCGCCGGCCACCAAGACGCCGCAGAGCGCCTCTGCACTGAGCAGGGCTTTGCGAACGAATTCAACTTTGAAGCTGGTGCCCAGTACATCAAGAACGCCGCTTTCAACAGCATCTACGCTCCCATCATGGACGAAGGCCCCTTTGACCTCGGCTCCATCATGATTTATCCCTCGAATGCGTATGCTGCGGATTCGAATTGCTGGGAAAAGAACGATATCAGTGTTTGTCCGCTTGTTGCTGCGCGCTTTGGGTCTACGTGGGCGATCCAGGTTAACACGGCGCCGTCGGTGGGTGATATTAATTTTGTCAGGGCGTGGTATCCGTGGCTTGAAGAGCAGAAGGAACCTGGTGATGAGAAGCCGAAGGAACCTGGTGCTGAGAAGCCGACGACGGGCTCTGGTACTGTTGTTGTTGGTAAGCGTAGGGGAGACGAAGCAGAGCGTGAGTTTGTTAGAGTTCACCGTCTTGGGGTTAGAGATGGGAATGTTTTGGTGAAGGCATCGTAGAGGAAATTGGGAATGTTCTTGGTGGTGGTAAAGGAGACAACAGGTCGTGGCAAGACTAGACGCTGGGGACATTGTCGCATGCCTGCTGTGAGAGACGCCGTTGCAGCTAGGGGTCGGAGAAGACTGTTCCCGTCGTCTGTGATTGTTCAATATCCTGCTTTTGATGTTGTCGCATAAGCAATAGAAGGATGAAGATGCATAAGCCCCACTTTGCCCCTCAACCACCACAATGCCGCAAAAAAGAACATTCTTCCAACAGAACCCCAGTACGACACCAGCAAAAAGGAATGGCGTCTGCCTGCTGCCGTCGTTGCCTTCCGCCAGAATTGAACCTTCACGGCACGTCAGCGTCGGTTGTCTCCTTGGTGCTTCGAATGGGGGTGTTACTCACTGACGACCTCGTCATTACTAGTGACGCGCTCTACCACTGAGCTAGGAAGGCTTGCTAGTTGGATGGCAAACGCTTCAAATAAACGTCTTATGATCTAATTTGTGGATGGCATCTATGACCTACATCTATACACCGGTCCTTGCATTCGCCGTGATCGGCCGCCAAAATGCGGTGTCGTGTCTAGCGGGGCAAAACCATCAGGGTCTAATTACAGAGCGGCACAAGCGAGTATACATGTAATCTCCGCAGCTCAATTTGTGCTAGCTGCAATCAACGCTTATTTCCTCCCTCCAACACTACCCTTCCACCTCCCTCTGCCCAACTTGTCGGTTCCCGTCTTCTCCGCATCCGCGCCATTGAAGACAACACTTCTCTCATCGCCCCTCGGCAGGACAACCTCCAGGTCCTTCCAATGCGGGACGAAGCCATCTTGCAATTTCTCCTCATATTGCACCAGTACCTGCGTGGCCGTTGACTCGAAAGAGACTATGAACCTGGAGATCCTGGCTGGCGGCGGCGAAACACCGTCGTCTTCGTACCAAGTAGACGTGTAGACTTTACCGTTGGAAGAAGCCTTTGGAGGGAAGATCTCCACCCCACGGTAATCGTCCAGGGGCAGGTTCGCCGGGTTGTTTGTTTCGCCTACAGAGAGGACTTGTTCCGCCCGTCCAACAGGTATCGCGCTTCCAACTTTCGCCAAGACAGGAATGCTAGACTGCCAGTGCGATGCAACATCAACCCATTGGCCCGCGCTGTAATACGTTTGTGGGTTGTTGTTCAAGTCTAGAAACGCGGCATCAGGGTCTGAAGCGTCCTTGGGAAGGTACATGCTAGCAGTCTCGGCACCAGGAGTGAAGACACCACCGACCAGTAGTGCATCACCAAGCCAGTACTGTGTTTCGCCATCGGTAAGTATCTTGTTGGTCCAAATCTCCGGATCACTCTCATATCCCCATCCAGTCCAACGCTGCGGTGGCGTGGCAGTCATGTGCGAATGCAGCGCTAGCGAGTAGAGATAGGGGATGAGTTCGTAGCGGCGCTTGATCGTGTCGCGGATTATGCCAGTCACCTCGGGATACATCCAAGGCTCGATAACATCGCCGACGCGGTTGTCCTTGCCCGTTTTGAAGCAATTGATGGCGAAGCGCGGACTGTAGATGCCTTGCTGGCACCAGCGGACGAGAAGCTCGGGACTGGGCTGTGGGCCTTCGAAACCGCCTATGTCGTGGCCGTAGCATTGCATTAGACACACGCCCGCGGTGAGGGACAGAGCGTTGGCGCCTTTCATGCCTGGCCATGAGGTGACATTGTCTCCGCTCCAGGCACTTGCACAGTATCGAAGCGTTCCTGCTGTGGCGCTTCGGGTCAAGATGAAAGGGCGTTGCGCAGGTTCCATCTCCAAGGCTGCATCGTGCGAAGATTTTCCCATCAGTTCGGTGTTGAGTGCGCGGCCCCAAAATCCGATGCTGTTGCCATAGTCGTCGCGCTTGGGCTCTTGAGTAACTGCTGGCTCATCCAGTGCGCACTGCCAGCCATCGTGTGGGACAGTGTATTCGTTGTTGTCGTTCCAAATGCAGTCAATACCGACACGCTTCAGCTCGCGGATGCCGTCGTACCACCACTGGTACCCGGCCTTGGAAGTGAAGTCGATATGGCCACCGACTCCACTCTCACCTCCACCCGCGCTCCACAGTCTCGCTTCAGCCGATGCGAGTGTCAAAGAGTCCGTAAAGAATGCGCCAGCGTCTTTGAGCTTTTGATACTCGGGATGACTGCCCAATACATACGGCTTCACGTTTGCAATGAGCCGAATGCCTTCCTTGTGATAAGCATCGATCCAGCCTTTCGGATCAGGAAACCGATGCTTATTCCACGTAAACACGTTGCGCGTCTTCGGTTCTGTCTCTGCGACCGTATAGCCAGATGACATTTGCATGCCGGAGCAGGGAATGTCGTGTTCTTTAAGCTTGGCAGCAAACTCCATCATGCTCTGACTAGCAGGTGGGTCGTCCGTCATGGAGTACTTCATACCACCAGCCAGGTAACCGAATGCCCACCGCGGCACCAGAAGTGGATAGCCAACGAGGTCAGCGTAGATGCGCACAATATCCGGTAGAGTCTTTCCCACCAGGAGGTACTCCTCGAGGCCGCCGTAGTCTTGACGATATACTTTGAAGCGTCCCCACATCCCATCCATCTCAGAGCCGACCTGGTAAAAGAGGTCAGCATGCGTCTCAGATGCAGGTGTACAGCGGTATCTCTTACAGAGTAGAAGCCGCGGGCGTGTGACGTTGAGAAGATACCAACACAGCCATCTGGCGTGCAATTGATCAGGAGAGGAATGTGCTTATAGAGCGGGTCTGTACGATAAACATCGTAGCCGAAAGAGTCGGTGGCGGAGAGAACGAAGTGACGATTTGATAAATCCATGGGTGCTGGCTTCTCGCCAAGTCCAAGGTGAAGAGTCCCATTATTGTAGCGTGTGTAGTGCGAAACCCCAGGCCCGTCAGCAACATAGGAGCGATTGGGCAGATCGGTATGAATGGGTGTCTTTTGGCCAGGAAGCGTAAGTGATACTATGGGTACACCCCCTTCCCAATCCACATTGGCAGTGACTCCATCGACGGCGAATGCTTTTGAGGTGGTGCTTGATGATACCCGTGCCGCAGTCGTGTCGTCCAGGGTCTTGCTCGGTACTGGTGTGGCTCGGTGCGGCGGCAACAAGTGCTTGGGCGACGTGAAAGTCGTTCGGAAAAGTCCAGGTCGTAAAGCGTCAAACGTGAAAACAAAGCCCGAGTTTGATTGCAACTCAACGCTCGTATCAAACGATGCCGTTGCGGGAACAGCTTGGTAGCCGCTGGAGACGTGCTCAAGCATCGGCATGATGAATATAGAACGGGTTTAACAGTTGGCAATGCCTGTCTTCTTGCCAAGTATCATGAGCATCATGAATCATACTGTACTTATAGCAAGGCAGGCCATTGAACTTCGCCCGAAAGTACCATCGGAGAAAACCGAAGGATCCTACCCTCGTCACGAGGCTAAAGGCATCCATCCTTGGCTGCCGGTTTCTTCGGCCGTAGCTACGAGACCTAGCCCGAAGAGAGACAAGATCAGCGTCTGGGGTCCCCGTGGGGATGCGTATAAGTGCAGTCGGGCCATATTGACCTACTACTGCAGCATTATCTCAGACTCTTCCTGGGTTGATTGTAGTCTTCTTGTTGAAATGTCGAAACCGGAGGTGACCGACGACGTCGCCGCGTCCAAGCCCAATGTCGAAACCACGGAGTCGCTTTACAAGCCAGCCAATGCGACGGACGGCAAAGGCAAAGACAAAGCCGCCGCACTTCTCGCCTCGAACGAACGCATCGTCGTAACATCCGCCGAGAACAAACGCGTCTTGAAGAAGATCGATCTTGTCATCTTGCCTATCCTACTCAGCGTCTACTTCCTCCAATCACTCGACAAGACCACATTATCCTACGCTTCCGTCTTTGGCCTCATCGAAGATGCAAACCTCGATCCCAACAGTCAACAATACTCATGGCTTGGGAGTATCGTATACATTGCGCAGCTAGTGGCACAGCCGCTGGTGGCCGTGTTGCTGGTCAAGCTCAGGATGGGGAAGTTCATGGGTGTAATGGTGTTCACCTGGGGCTGCATATTATGCGGAATGGCGGGTGCCAGCAGCTTCGCCGGGCTGATGGCCACGCGATTCTTGTTGGGCGCTTTCGAAGCTGCCGTTGGTAAGCCAACTCTTCAAGCCATCGCGAAGACTATCGCTAACGCATCTAGCTCCTGCTTTCATCGCCGTTGTTCAAATGTGGTATAAGCGTGGCGAGCAAACGAACCGAAACGCAGCTTGGTACGCCATGCTGGGCATGGTCAACATCCTCGGCAGTCTGCTCTGCTACGGGTTGGGCCACATCCAGTCCAATCTTCTGTACTCATACCAGATCATCTTTCTCTTTTGTGGTCTCCTCACAGTCGTCGTTTCGGTCTTTGTATGGTTGTTCATGCCCGATTCACCCATGGAGGCAAGTGGTTTCCCTGTACTAGTTGATGTGAGAGATATACTGACTTCGTGCCCCAATCTTTAGGCCAAGTTCTTCAACGATCACGAAAAGCTCGTCGCTGTCGAGCGTCTGCGTATGAACCAGATGGGCGTTGCATCTCGTGTCTGGAAGTGGGACCACGTACTGGAGGCATTCATGGATCCCAAGACATGGCTTTGGTTTTCCATGTTGACAGCGATCAGCATCCCGAGTGGTGGTATCAGTGCTTTCGGGCCTCTGATCATCCAGAGTAAGTCCAACGTTCCTGCAAGCTGCAAGTCTGAACTCCACTGATTGCTCGAATTTCAGGTTTTGGGTTTGGACCCTTCGCTACGATCCTCTTCAACATGCCTTTCGGCGTCATCCAGATTATAGCTACCTGCGGTGGAGCTTGGCTAGCCACGTGGCTGAAACGGAAGTCGCCCGTGCTGATACTCTTATGTATACCACCAATCGCCGGCATCGTCATCCTCATGGTCGTTGGCCGCGGCGACTCGAATCGCGGTGTACTTCTTCTCGGATACTACGTAAGTAGTGGCAACGCAAAACATGTAACCTGCTAACCCTGTGCTTCCAGCTGACGTCTTTCTATCCCGGCATTTCACCTTTAATCTATAGCTGGTCAGGCCAAAACACAGGAGGCGACACAAAGCGCAAAGTAACGACAAGCATCCTCTTCGTCGGCGCCAGCGCCGGCAACATCATCGGCCCACAACTCTTCAAACCGTCAGAGAAACCACACTACTACCGAGGCCTCCGAGCCAACCTCGCTCTCTTCATCGCGATCGTCGTCCTGATCCTGCTTGCAATGTTCTGGATCAAGCTTCTGAACCGGAAGCATGCGGCAACAAGAGAGAGCATGGGGAAGTCGGCCATTGTCGTTGATACCAGCATGGGTTCTGCGCGCGAGGGTGATGCAGAGGAAGCTGAGAACGCACAAGCCAGCGGTGTGGGCGACAAGGCGTTCGATGATGTGACTGACATCAAGAACGAGGACTTCATCTATGTATATTGATCAACGGGTTGACGCTTGAAACATGACTTCCGATAGTTGTAGCTTAGTTACAATATACACTGAACTTACATACAACATTTGCTCCATTGACATGTGCATGTGAACACTGTTGATACTCCCAGGACATGCTTGACCGTCGGATCCACGCAACATGCACGGCTCTTGTATAGCCGCCTGCCTTCCAAGCATGCCTTTGGTTTAGAACAAGCTGTCGATATTGACAAAGAGGTCTTGCCATCCGAGCGGCATATGTTTTAGATTGAGCCCAGGAAAGTCTGCAGAGGTGGACATACGAAGTCAGTATAGATTTCACAAGCGTGTCTGCAGTCCAAACTTACCCCACTCGAAGACGAACTCGCTGGGAACGTAGCCCTGGAACTCGTCTTCAGCTACACTGCTTCTCGCTCCCGCCATCGAAGAGTCCTGGTCGGGTATCTGTTCCGCAGCATACTCTCGGAGAGCAGCTTCACACTTCTCGATGCTGGTTTGCAAGATCTGGAAATATGCGATGTGGCCCACGGTAACAATTTTTAGCTCTTCCAGTACGCGATGCGCGTCGCTGAGCAGCGCCATGACCGAAGGTACCGGGTCGCGGAGGAGAATGGCTAACTTGAGGACCAGCAAGACTGAGACGGCGCACTTAGCCCAGACATAGTCGAGTGTCCAGCGAAAAGTACTGAGATACGTTGAGCCAGACGTCGAGGCATGAGACACCGGCGATGAAGTTGGTGTTGACGATGACTGAAGCATGTAGTGAAGGTGTCGATTCGCTGCCTCCTTGGCTTTGCGTATGAAGTCGCGCTGAAATTCGGTCATGATCGCAATGTTCTCGATCCCGGAAGAGCCTACCGCCTTTAGGTACATGGTCATCGTCGCCCAAGCTTGCTGAATACACAAGTTCTGCAACGCAAGAGTCCGTTGATGTGGCGCTGGTTCGGTCAGAGCAATGTTGGTCCATTCATCGAGCCACAGTGACAGCTCAACACAAGCCTCATCTACCGTATTCCGGAGTTGATCTTCGCTGTGTTGACCCATATAGTCATTACTCCGGCCCATGATCTTTGTATAAGCTTCCGTGCGGATGATGTTGAGCTCCACTTGCGAGAGGAGGCGGATGTCGGTAGATGTACGTTCTGGGTGAGCTAACAGACATCTGATCTTTCGAGAGGACATTTGAAGAGAAAGGCCAGGCAGTTTACCGCCATCTAGAGAGAAACTTGGATGTTTTTAGCAGCGCTCTCCAATCAGGTTAACATGATACTCACAAGAGTTCAAGATTGCAGATCCCAAGCCAAACTCTAGATAGACGGTAAAGCTCTTGCTCGTGGGCGGTCACGATTCCGGAACGTGCGTGACTTTTGGCGATGAGCTGATCGACAACATGAGGTAGCCCAAGCTGAATGGCAAAGCGAAGGGCCATGGCCACCAGAACGAACGCGTTCTCCGAGTACGCAGCCACCAGTGCGATGGCCTGTATATCCTCTACTGTAGGGGTGTTTGTGTTGATGAATAGGTCGGTAAGTTGATCACGGACTCGAGTCTGGAGACGGCCTAGAAATGGGTATATAACGTCAGCATTCGTCTCATATTGAGTCCATGCAGGAATGTTACTGACGATAGATCCTGGTGTTGAAACCTTCGGCGGCGCGACATCCAATACTGACTATGGCGTCAAAAAGAATTGGGCTACGTGAAGCCACTGATGCGATGTTGTCATGTCTCTCGCAAAAGATGGGCACAAGGTATTGCTATGGCTTTTAGTATAGTTCACCAGGTAAATCGGGGCTTTCATACACTGCCCGAGAAGAAACTTTATAAAATCAGTGATCTGGGCTCGAGGATTGCAGTGAGTTTGTCTACCTTTGATACCAGTGGACAGCTTGTTCCCATGTGATGAGACCTGCGTCAACGGCCGTTGCGTTGCACTTGGGCATAGACCGGAGTGCGATTTCTGGCACTGTCCCAGTCGCATCTTCCATGGGTAACTGCATTCATGATCATGGTCAGCTAGCTTTCCGCTGGTTCGCGCAGGACGCCGCCTCAAATAAGGAGGAAACAGAACACCCTGGAGCCTACATTGGCGCCAGATGTTCTGATTTGCCTCCTTTATCCCAGTGTAGTCTTCAGGCCTACGTACACTCTTGTCTTGATGCCGCTGGATACGCATGTGTTCACGAAGAGCAGCCATCTCATTCTCGAGCCTTTCGATCCGCAACACATTTTCGTCCTTTACGGCGTCAAAGTATTGGCAAGTTGCGCCATTCCGGTCACATCGTTGGCAAGGGCGGTTCCCGTCGCATCGTACTTTGGACGTTCGGCAACTGACGCATGCATTGATGGCACGGCGTTTGCGTGGTCGCGGCGAATCCATTGTTATCGGGAATTTCGCACGTACTGGATGGCCCGGTTTTTTGAAGTCGGGGGTGGGCCTGATGGAGATGCGGGGAAGCTACACATGAGTCGTGGCTCTGCGGCGGAATCTACAATCGGCAACGGAGGACGCGACATTCGTCCCGCGGCAGACTTGGGGGCTTGCAATTGTCCAGCCAGAACACCCTGTATCGTTAGTGACCGTGAGTCGCACGTAAAAGTAAGGATGAAGATGATGCGTATCATTCGTCAACACGACCTAATGCCGTCTCATAGGAAAGTGACGCTAAATCCTGTTCGGACTGATGACCAGTCTGCTGCAACGAACAATACTCAGTTTGGCGCGACATATTCGTTAATTGTAGGCGCAGTGTTGAGATCAAGATCAATGCCGAATTGCCCTGTAGCCTGCCCATAACTAGCCTTGACAGCCTCTGTTGCGTATATTCGCATCTCTTTTTCATATGCTTCTGTGACACCCGTCCATCTATCGCCATCGCCTCTCTCCCAGGCTTCGGCTATCAATCGACCGAGCAGAGCCGAGTCGCGCACAGCTGTGTTTGCGCCGTTACCTCCTGCTGGCGTCATAGCATGCACTGCATCACCGACCAGAGTGACACGAGGGTCATTGGGCCACTTCGGTACACCTTCTGGTGACGAACATGTTATCTTCCAGAAAGCTGCTTCCGACTCGGCCATGTTATCGAAGAGTGGCTTGACACGATCGTGCCAGTGCGATGTGAGCGCCTTTGCTATCTGTGCAGCAGGTGGCCCAGTAATCGTGTAATTGTCGTTCGGCGCTTTGATGACGCCTGGAGAGCCGATCATGGTCCAGCCGAAGTTGACGTCGGGCTTGTCCATGTCGCCTGCGCGCACGTTTGTGATGACGAAGACCTTGCCGCCGTTCGGCTGTGATGTATCGTCGACAAGACGGAAGACACCTTCGCCCAAGGCCTTGAAGGCTGCCGTCGGGGCTTGTCCATGTATTCCTCTGGAGCCGAGATCATAGACTTTGATCGCCCCATTGGACAGTTGACCAGCGACTGCACTCTTGACACCCTCACCCCCGATCAGCATAGAGCCCTCCTCGGACTTGGTACCGTCGGCGAAAACTAGTCGCACACCATTGTCCGTCCTCTCGTAGGCTGCGACCTGATGTTTCCAAACCACACGGTCCTCGATGCCGTCCATGAACAGCTTGCGCATATCACCGCGCGACACTCCAACGACCTTGCCGTCTCTGCTGGTCAAAGGCTCGCTCTTGACGCTCGGAGCATCTCCACCTATTGTCTCGCCTGTCAGCGGGTTCACTGCCGCGAATCCAGCCCCGCCAGTTTTGCCGCAGGCGTCGTAGAAGGTCTTGAATCCTGCCGGACCGAGCACTTGCTCAATGGCGTCCAGACCCTGCGCTGAGAGTCTCAGCCTATAACCCTGCGCTCTGAAGACGATGGACGCGTCGCGTTCGAAGACGAGGAACGGGATCTTGGAACGGTGCAGCGAGCGGGCGAGGAGGAGCGAGGCGAGGCCGGCGCCGGAAATGAGGATTGGCTTCGGAGCGCTCATGGTGGACGGTGAATTGATATGGGGGATAGACGGCGTCTGGAAGGGCGTGGCATGGCTGGTGTTATAGCAGTCGCGCTTGGGGGTGAGGCAGGCGCGATGCAGTGCGTCAAGTGCATCGTTGGGCAAGTGGGGGCCGCGTCGGATCTCCTGGGCCTCCGAAGCAGCGTGATTGCTAAGCTGCCACACTCAAATGCCAGTAAGCGACTGTGGCCTCTTTCCGCACAGCGACATTTATAATACCAGACTCTACCATGCCGCTAAGCCATGCTGATGTTTTAGTCTTACGTAGCACTCGGGGATGCAGCTGTGTTGGAGACCACGTGAAGACGCGTCAAAGCCTTGGGCCGAATCGTGGCACCCTCACTATCTTTGGCTCGTCAATCAATGTTGAAATCCGTTGATTTGGTAGCATACTCTATGGATCCATGCGGTTCTCCCTCGTCATCACATAACGGCGCGAATGTGCTGTGTCGCACAGTGACTACTACCGTTTTGGTGCTATGATGCCATGTAATCCATAATGTACTCGATCTTCGGCTTCATGAGCAGCAAGTAATGCTCTTCCGGCATAAGTGCCATAGGTTCCCGAGCCACAAATACAGCCCAACCAGACTCTTTGTCAAAGCTCCACTCCCAACGTGTAGACTCGAAATTGGGGGCGTTCCGGGCATCGTATCTCTGGAAATGGTCTTCTTTCAGCAACTCGCCGAGTAATCTGATGTACCCATAGGGCTCTTTTGCAACACGATGGTTCGGGAAGAGGAGCTTGACTTGTTTGACGTTGCGCAGACGTCTGAGCAGACCCACGAGGGCTGTCCGGTTGGCAGAGTCGTCGAGTGGCATTACAAACTGTAGCTCATCGAGATGCATACATTGCCTGTTCAACGGGTACTCGTACCATTTCCCGATGGTCTCATGGTCGCAGTGAATCCTCAACTTCTTTACATCTTGTAGAAGCTCTTCGACTTGCTGACCGGCAACTCGTGTGGAGTTCCTGGCGAGCACAAAGAGGGTACTGTGGATGGCAAGGCGACGAAACTCAGCGTTGAACTGGCGGCAAACCAGCCGTATCGCAAGGTTGATACTAGCTTTGTACCTCTCATCTATCGTAGAACAAGTTTGTCCCTCATTGGACTCGTGGAGTTTCGTGAGTCCCGCATCAGATTGTTCCAGCGCGTATGCGACAATCTCTAGGCGGAGCTCGATAGGTAAAGAGAGGAAGGTCGCTTTTGAGGCGGTGTGAGACATGACGTGGTGCCACAGGAGGTTAGGACAACGAGTACGGCCGCTGCGTAAACTTTGTTCTCACAGACACTGGCCCTCTGCAAGCTCGAAGCAACAACCCGGCTGACGCGAAAGAAGCGCGCCTGATGCCAGCGCGGGCCCGTGCGTAGACATCTGATAAGATTTCACGACCCCGCCAATCTCCGACTCCGAGCTTGCGTCGCCCCATCTTGTACCTCATCGCGTCCACTCATGCGCACTTCATCCATCTCCATCATTCTGTACACGCTTACAGGTGCATCACATGCTTTGTACGCGGGAAAGTACTGCCCTTTGGCATGTGAGACCGGCGTCAACTATGTAACCTTCAACGACACCGACCCTTCGCTTTCGAGCAAGATCCGAGGATGCCAAAGTGAATTACGCCTCACATCACTGTATCTGTGCTTCGACGAGTTCTGCATACAGGATGGCCAGACAGAAAAATGGATCGAGAACCAGAAACCCTGGTGTGAAGCACACGCAAACATTACATTACCTTCCTTTCGCGATGTTTTGGACCAATGGACCCCTGACGACAAGGCCAGAGTGACGCGACTGGCGGCTGAAAAGGCATTGAAGTTTCCGACCATTGATGAAGTTGTGATACCAAGTGATGAGCTTGTAAGGCGAGCTTTCACCACCATGGTACGTTCCTGCCTGTACGTACGGCCGATGAGACTATGGAGTGCTAAATGTGGCGTACAGGAAGCGGCATTCTGGGAATACGAGATCCATCTCGTGTATGGGTAAGTCGAGCCTGTATCCCGTTAGGCGCAACTTCGCTAATATAATACCCACAGCTGGTACATGTACTACTTCTGGCTCGTAGTAGTGGCCGTTGGTGTAACGACGCGTATACTGTCACTTCTACGCAGTGAACAACGCCACACGTCATACAAAACAGTCCCAGAAGTCGAATCCGGCAGGACGTCTGGACCTCGACGTCCTATGGTTTCCCTTCGGACCTGGCTCAGGCGATACGTTACCACACCTGCCGCTTTTGGTGATCGTTGTTCTCGACCGTACGGCTGGTGTACCATCCCACCACGGATCCAGTCGCTTACCATCTTTCTTTTTGTCGCGCTCAACGTTGTTCTCTGCAGCTGCTCCTACCGTCTCACCGAAGGCAACCTTTATTGGCCGAAGAAGTCAGTGCAATTCCTCCGTTTTGTATCGGATCGTACGGGAATCATATCGCTCGCGAACTTCCCACTCGTCTGGCTCTTTGGTATGCGCAATGATCTTTTGATCTGGGTGACTGGATGGGGTTTCGGTACCTACAACGCTTTCCATCGGTGGGCGGCAAGGGTTGCCACAGTACAAGCCGTAGTGCACAGTGTGGGATACACGCTGATGATACTGGAGCGCGGAGGATGGCCATCTTTCCTAAACTACTGGACGAAGCACTACTTTTGGAACGGCGAACTGTCAACCATCGCCATGTGCGGTCTTTTGGCGTTCTCGTTCTACGGTATCCGTCGTGCGCACTACGAGTTCTTCCTCGTCACGCACATAGCGCTCTCAATCGCAACCCTCTGGACTATGTACTACCATGTTGAGATTTTCACTAATGGCGAGTGGAACATATTCATCTGGCCATGCGTTGGTGTCTGGGTCTTTGACCGGATCATGCGCCTCTCACGAATCTTAGCTTTCAATCGCAGCCCGCTGAGTACCAAAGCTAGGGTTACTTATGACCCTAGCAGTAACCTCGTGCGTATGGAAGTCGATAGTAGTAAGAGCTTAGTAGCCCCAAGGCCTGGCTCTTACTACTACATCCACGTGTTGGATGATCTGTTCTATGCACATCAGAGCCATCCGTTCACGTTGGCATACAGTTCAAAAGATACGGATAATCCTCCATCTACGCCACTATCGCCGCTTTCAGCGAGGCCGGAACACTCGCGTACTTCATCAGCTTCAACCACAGAGTCGGATGCACTCCTTTCGTCTAAAGCCTCAGATGCCTCATCGAACATGGTGTTCCTTGTCCGACCGTACGACGGCTTCACATCCCGATTGAAGTCACATTGTCTCTTGCATCCCAAAAGACTCCGCATCCTTGTGGAAGGGCCTTATGGACACACTGTTCCTCTCCGCAGTTCACAAAACATTTTGTTTGTAGTCGGTGGAACGGGTATCGCAGTCCCGCTATCACACCTAGCCCACGTTCTGGCCAGTACATCACGTGTACGCAGTGTGAAGATTGTATGGGCAGTACGCGAGTACGCGTTCCTCACTTCTGTTCTCCGCGACTTTAGAGGCTTGTTGGGTGATGAGAGAGTCGAGATGGAAGTGCACGTCACTCGGGATGATGAGGCGAAAGACGATGTGTTGGGCGAAGACCTGAAGAGCGTAAGAATCATGGCACACAGACCTGACGTACATGAAACAGTTCAAGAGGCTGCTAGAGATGCGGGCCAGCAACGTCTGGCGATTGTGGCTTGTGGGCCAGCTTTGATGGCGGATCAGGCTAGGAAAGCGAGTGTCCAGATGTTGGATAAAGGTTATAGAGGGGTGGAGTACTTTGAAGAAAGCTTCAAGTGGTAGGGCGCATGATATCAGGATAATTCGATGGATTCAGTTCGTGCCCAACATTATCCCAGTTTACAGATCTGCTTTCTCCTCTGTTCTTTTGAGTTGAATGTACCACTCCGCGACCTCTCTCACGCTATCCTCTAACCCCCTAATCTTGTCACCATTCATCAGCATCTTCTCCGTCATGCTTGATTCGACGCGGAATGGCATGTTGATAGGCACCTTCTGGCGTCCCACTCTGAACGCCCCAGTCTTCACCTCCCTCGCAAAGTCTCGCTCGATCATGTCCGCCACAGAGTTCCAGAGTTTGTCCCCATCTGTCCCCTCCTCCACCGTCCCAGCGGCAACATACCACTTGGGCAGGTTCTCGCCTCTAACCCTCCCATCCAGCGCCTCGATATGAATGCGAGCGCAGTCTTGCACATGCACGAAACCAAACGCATACCGCGGGGCTATATCATCGAACAGCAATGCCTTGCTCTGTCGATCCATATGCGCACGTGCTTGCTCCGACGTTTTGCAAAACTCCGAAGGGCCAATAACGGTACCGGGTATGATTTGCGCGATAGAGAAGGGGAGCTCGTGGGAAGCTTGGAGATCAGCGAGGTAGGTCATACATTGGGCTTTTGCGGAGCAGTAGGCGTTGTGAGGGGATTTGAGAGGGGGTCGGTATGCGAGGGATGTTTGCGAGACCTGAACTGCCTCTGTATCGGTCAGTACGATGCATGAACTGAGGCGCGAGGGCAGAAGCAAAGAGACGTACCGTTCAAGACGCGTTCCATACGCGTACCCAGTGTATCGCCGTCTTCAGAGTCAACAAGCCCCGCTCCAGCCTGCGTGAATACCATCCTCTTCACTGTGCCAGACTTGCGCCCTGCTTCTATCAAGCCCGTCGTCGACCTGATATATGGATGGTAGATGTCGTTGTCAGGATCCAGATGGAGCATCGGCCATGCTCCTGCTATGTGCACAACATAGTCGACACCCGCAACAGCTTCATCGTATGCTCCCTCGACCGCATTGTCTGGCACGGCGACGTATTCGATTAGGTCGAGGTAGGGCTGCACGGAGGGCCCGGTTTTGATCGTTTCGACGGCGGAGGCGCGGCGCACAATGCACCGCACTCGATAGCCAGTCTGCAGCGCGTAGACCACACAGGCATAGCCTATTGTTCCGTTTGCGCCTGTTATCTAGGTACCCAGTCAGTTTCGTTGCGCTGGGGATGATGGAGATTGACTTACAGCGACAAGGCCTCGAGCTCCGCGATCGGCCGTCATGCTTCAGTGCCGCGACGGTGAAGTTTCCCAATATCGCGAATACTTCAGGCCTGGGTCAGAAGCTGGGAAGCACATGGTTGATATGGGAAATTTTCGAGTCTTACTAAGATTCTTGCCGTTGGAGTGCAGCTTAGATGAATGGGAGGGCAAGCCGGGCCAAACCGTTCCGAGCAGCGTTCCGACATCCCTCGGCATTTGGGGACGTTGAGCTGGTCGTCATTGGACGTTTATCCACCAACACTCCTAATCCACGCGATCATTGCGCGAAGGGAGCTTTATGATGCCTAACTTGCCTTCTTTCAATACAACAGGTGTTTGGTATATTGGCTAAAGACATGCGTATTGTAACACGACAGCACGCAATCGCGAGCCTTCCCTAATGTCGCCATGAGAAGCTCAACGTCATCATCGTACGCTCCAGAACCCACGCGCGTTTCGCATCATAGGCATAAACTGGCACCACCGGGTAGGCTGGAGCCTTTTCAAGCGAATTTGCCACAGTCCTCGCTCTCAAAGCACCTCCTACACGCGCGCACGATGCTACGCTCCTCGAACGGAACCCGACCGCACTCGTCCACAACCAAGGTGCCGGCATCGTTGTAGGAAGCGATGTGCGCGTATCCTTCGAGCGTTATGATAGATGTAATTGCGGCTTGGCTGTTCCACGACTCGGAGGCAGCAGTTGGACAAAATGGCGAGCTTGACCATCAAGAAGATATCTAGGTATGACAAGTTGGCATCTGGCATGCTACATGCCTATACAATGGCAAGCAATAGCCAGGCATACTGGCATGCTATAAGTTCGGCGGATACGAGCGACGGGACAGTAAGCCACAGGGAGCGGGGGCAGGACACAGCAGAGAGAAGCATGAAGTTCGGCAGTTTTAATCAGCATCAACAGTTGCCGCCGGATGCCCATATATATACATCGGGAAGAGATGTTGCCAGCATGGCCAATTGATAAGCTGAAGCAGTTACAGTGATAACGCTGCATTCTGCAAGCTTCCCTTCTTTTAGGACCAGTCGCCTTCATCCTCAACCACTTCGCCACGTTCCGAAGCCCCCAGCAGCCCGCGGACGGTCCACGGTCTGTACTTGTATCCCAGCGGTATGTTCGTGTTCAAGAACTCGACACCCGTGTCCAAATGCTCAGCACACTTGTGGTAGTTATCGTAAACATACTTCTCGGGGTTGTGACAGACCAACCAATCTCCGACCATCTTGTGTTGCTTTGTGGGCGTCGCCTTTTCGTCTTTCCAGTCGGTGTTGTGAAAGATCTCACGGTTCTTGAATCCTAGTTTCTGCGCGCAGGATACTCGCTCAAACCTACAATTTCGAAGTTAGTCGCTGGTGTTTCTCCACGATCTATATCGGCATACCTCAGCTTATTGTGCACCTTGGTTGCAAGCGCAACGTTCTGCTTCCCAGCAACATGTAGACAGGCTGCTAGCGAGTACGCGTCTTCCATGGCCATCGTGCCGCCACTGAACGACGTGGGCAAGAAGGGATGGGCAGCATCGCCCAGCTGCACGACATGGCCGCCTTTCGACACCCACTGCGGCTGTGGATCACGCCACATCAGCTTCCAGTCGAGCACCTGATTGTTCGGTGTCGCCTTGATCACCTCCGTAACAAAAGGATCCCAATCTTTTACAACATCCAGAATCCTATCCGTGGAAGTGGTTTTCGACCAGCTCTCTGTTGCCGTACCGTTCTCATCCTGATAGAAGTTAGCAACGATCTACAAGGCCAATGAACCAGCGACTACAAACCTTACAAGTCAATAGATAGCACAGCTCGCCATTGTCATGAGAAATAACCATATGCGCGCCGGGACCAATATACATGAAACCACGGTGATCGTGCCCCAGAAACTCCCTCGCAACAAGGGGATACTTGCCCATCGCCGGTCCAGTAGGAAAAGAAGTCCGGTAGACAACAAAGCCAGAACTAATCGGCTTCTCTCTATTCCCGTCGATGATCTCGCGGGACCTCGAGCCTACGCCATCTGCGGCTATCACCACATCTGCAGTTATCCTCTGACCACTTTTGAGAATAACACCGCCTGATGTGTTTGAGTCAAAGTATGCGTCCACTTTCGCGTCGTACGTGATGGGTATACCGAGCTCTTTGACGTAGGTATTCAGCAAACTATGCAGCCTCTTCCGGTAGATGCTCAAAGACGGATTTGCAGAGTCGCCTGGAGCATGGTGTTGGATGAATGTGCCGTCGTATTTGCGCAGGTCAAAGGTTGGTGGCGATGCGAGGGCCCTGAGGCGTTCTAAGAACCCTGGCCATTTCTTGGGCGTTTCGAGCGCTGAGCTGGTGATCATGATGATCTCACCTGTCGGTTTGTTAGTTTGGTTCTTTTGGAAGTCGATAGTTGGATGGGAGGTACATACCCGAGTATTGACCTTCGTCATTCCGTTCAAGAACGCGCACATCGTGTCCTTTGCGGTGGGCCTCGATTGCAAAGGTGAGTCCGCCGATGCCGCCTCCCACGACGAGAATGTCGATACCGGTTCTTGGTTCTCGTTTCATTTGGGGTTCCTGGATGTGTGGCATGTTTGTTACTGTTGTTTTGTTCGATGTGGCATTCTCTTCGCATAGATATACTTGAGCATTTCTCACACTCCCCAGGCCTTTCATCGCAAACGGCGCAACAACATACCGGCGGGCGAAAGACTACGGACGGTTGAGGCGGACAGACCCGACAAAATTTTATGGACAGGTCTGCGTTGATCGCTTGGTGGGCCTCGCCTGTCCTGAGGGATGCGATGTTGCATCCGTTCACAAACGCCCCTTCCGGCGTCCCGAAGCTAGCTTCTCTTAAGCTTCTCAGGCATATGGCTACGCGCGTGAACCAAGGCTAAGCACAAATGTATCTAGTACTGGCGGCGAAAATGTATATGTTGGGTGGCAAGGCATGTTTGTACATCATGTACGATGGCTTGTACAAACGCGGGCCCACATGGCAGTGGTAACATTGTACTATTCTCCACACGGCCATGCGATCAGAGATTGTGGGATGAGTATCAGCGTGACTCTGGTTGATTTCAACATTAGACCAGTATGTGATGTCGACACTCGTGATTGACAAAGCCGATATCGCGAAGACATCTCTCATATCGGGTCTACTGGGCAATAAACTACGTTTGCATCTGTTTCTGCATCTCCTGCACGACGACTGCTTGAACCTCGCGCATATGCTTACTCACTATCGCGCCGCCGTATCCACCTTCCAGATCGTCGAGAAGATCTTCGCTGCCCTTGGGGAAGATGCCTACGCTTCTTCCACACAACTCTTGAACCGAAGCAAACCTCACCACAGCATCCACGACTCTGTCCATGGATACAAATCCTATGATGTTAAGAACAGCGCCGTTGTCCTCTACAAAGTCGGCTTGCTTGGCGATGCCGGTATCCACGTACCAGGGTGCAACAAGATTGATGCGGATCGAAGAGTGCATGGCGCGCTCGCGAAGGCTGTACAGAAGTCCTCGAACACCGAACTTGGACATGCTGTATGTGGTGCTATATGGGTATCCAATATAGGCTGCAAGCGAGGCGATGAGAACGATGCTGGGCTTGAAAGTTGTTGCTGCTGCGCGCGGGAGGCGGAAGTGATGTAGTGCTAGATAGCAGGTGTTGTATACTGCCTCAAGATTGACGGACACGCAAGCAAAGCTTGGAGGAGCTGGTGGTGTGTCTCCTGGGTTTGGCAACGTGGCTGGCACCATGTCGAAGAGGTTCTTCTCGGCAAGGATGCCTGCATTTGGGATCACTATGTCAATCTGCCCATCTCCAAAGATGATTGCAGACTGGAACATGGAGGCTTGATCCTCGTAGGATGCCACGTCGCATTGTACGAACTGCACTCTGAGGCCTCGAGTGGTTAGATCTGCAGAGGTGGGAGTACCAAGTTAGTATGTATATCACAGGCAATTCGCACGGCCAGAACTTACCCTGGATGACGCCCCCAGCCGTATCGTGTAGATCAGCCATGGTGACTATTGCGCCTGCTTCAGCCATCTTTATCGCGCAGGCTAGACCAATGCCAGATGCTGCGCCAGTGATAAGCACCGAACGATCTTTTAGGTTGGATGTATCCAGCACACTGTTAAAGTCGATCGGAGTGGCCATGGTTGGAGTAGTGGTATTCGCCATGTTGATCAAAGATTAGCAAGTAGAAGGTTGTAGGCGTAAGACAATGATGCTCAGTCGAACGCAATCGCCTGGTAGATGAGTGAAGAATCGACGTCGCGCAGACGCTACGCAGTAGAATACAAAAGTGGATAGCGAGAGGCTACAAAGCGGGGAAAGTGGCCAAGCAATCAGTGACGCTGGGCACAGCTGAGAATCCCATGGTTGCCCAAAGAGACACATGCGAGCAAATCGGGGCAAAGTTCGACATCTCGATGGGGGCTGCAGGAGGAGGCGGGGTTTGCCAAGATACAGTATGTCATGCGGGGAAGGAGCTACTCCATCACCAAACACACCCGACCCGGGCAAATTTTAGATTGCCGTTGAGTGAGGCATCGATTATGAGCGAGTCGATGAGTGCTCTTTTACAGCGGATATGTCCGAGGTTCCAAGCCGGTACGTACGCATGGCATCCCGCCAGAGCGTAGCATTTGATCGGGGCAAAAGGTGCTTCTGAGGAGAGTTGCATCGGGATCGCATCAACCCAAAGTAAATGACCAGTTCCACTCTCTTACCACTTCTTCCCAGTCCCTTCTTTGACCACCTTCAAGCTTCGGTCGCCACACTTCTTTCAACACCTTTTGGACACATTCAACGTTCTCGTACCGATTCCTATTCTGGATATCCTCTAGCCTCTGGAAGCACTTCTCGATGGCCGCTTCATCATCTAGCTCGGCTCCAGCGAGAAATATTGGGTAGAGCAAACTTGACTCCGCGGCGCTTCCCGGTGGTATACGAGCGATAAACTCCATCGCGCGTGATGCACAGCCCGCAATATTGGCTGAATGGCTAGGCGAGGTGCGGTAGAGCTGAATGAGAGCTGCTAAACGGTAGGCTTCTGCCAAGGCGATGAGGTCGAGAGCTATAGGAGTATCGACGCCAAGTGCAAACGGGTTGTCGTAAGCCCAATTCTGTATACCCTTCTCGATCACGTTGAAAGACGCTTCGGTAGCGAGGGGAAACGCGGGACTCGAAGAGGTGACATACTGTATCCGTGAAATCAGGTCGCATAACTGGTATGAGATGCCCATGAGCGGGTCGATTGTGCCTGGCATTAGGGCGGCGCTGATTGGTATCAAGCCCTGCTCTGCCGAACAGGCCTTTCCGGCGTTTGACACCCGTGCCATGAGCGAAGCAGAGGCGAAGTGGTAAGTGAAGTGTCGATGCAGAGAATCAACTTCAACACAGTCCATGATGCTCTGTTCCGGAGTAAGCGCACTAAGTATCCGTTGCACACTCTTCAGTTGCGATATCCATCTCGTAGTCTTGACACCGTTGAGTGCTTCTAGTCCTACCAGGATGAGAATCACCGCAGTGACCTGGTAGGTATCTTCTGGTAATCCACCCGACGGGTTCAACCGCTCCTTGATGAACTGATAGCACTTCCTCTCGTGGCGGGAGGATACGGCGCGAAGATGTTTGGCGCGTTCTGCGTCCTGGCTTCGCCTCGCCAACTGAGCAGAAGATATAGCCAGGATAGCGTCAAGCATACCTTCGATCTGGAAAGACCAAGGCATGTAGAGGCTGGTGTAGAAACTCGTTGCAATAGGTGCTACTTGGACACTGGGTACAAACGCCTCGATGTAATACTGCAACAAATGCATCCGCTCCGCTCCTTCGTCGCCCGGTAGTGCATCCCATGGATCAAGAGACGAGCGCAGTGGGACTGCGACCTGGCGCTCCGGGCTCTTTGAGCTTGACTGGGACGAAGACGATTCCGAAACGATACTTCGTGGAGTTTGCCATTCGCATAACAGGTTGAGGCGTTTGCAGTTGGCACACTGAGGCTGGGCGCTATCGCACCTCTTCCGCCGGGTTCGGCATGTGAGGCAGCCCGTCCGTGACCTTGGCGCGAATTTGCGTTGACGCGGCTTGGATTCAGCCATGATCTGATGGATAGAAGTGCTGAGAAGAGCTTGATTCGGATAGTCACCGAGGGGGCATGGAGACGTGCATCGTTACGGGTGTGTTATTGGCAAAGATAGCTGAAGATTGAGTCAGTCAGATGCCGCGATCGCGGGTGCGGTATCGATAAGGCGTGACTAATCGGAGCATGCACCTCCGAAGGGCGACAAATGCATGGTCATCCACTGCTATCAACCTTCGTCAACCGCAATTCACGCGAAGCTCGGGTCGAAACCATCGTATTTCGCATGGGCGAAGGATTGCTTCCTACAATGGAGTTCCTTGGCCGCTGTGGCAGACCGCGCCTCCATGCGAAGAGACCACCCGCGCCGTCGATGTTCCCACGTGCAGCTGGTTCCTGAGCATCCTTACCGCCTTAGGAAGCATCGCCAGAACTCATCTCCGAGGCTAAAGCAGGTGCTGAACTTGACAACACCACCATCAATCAACATGTCGGGTATAAAGATGATAGGCGTGCGCTCTATTCCTATCTGCACTTCGGAGCGTCTCTCATTTCTTAACGGTAATCATGAAGCTTCTTGCTCTTTCTCTCGCCGCTAGCAGTGCTGCTGTTGCAGCCCAAGACAACTTCAATGTCTTCCAGCATATCGGCGGCAACGGACAATGGTTCCCCGGCGAAGAGGTGACGGGCATTTCGTCCGATATACCTACAGGATGCAAGGTCGATCTGGCAGGTAGGGCAGCTTGATTCCGCGATTGAAGAATGCCAGACTAAGAACACATAGCTTTCTTCTCCCGTCACGGTTCGCGGTTCCCAGACCGGTAACTACTGCACGCGCTGTATATGAGGCATAGGCTGACTTTGTCTCTTTACCTTTATAGTGGCGCCTACAATGGGTGGGTTGAATTTGCCAATTACATCCAAGCTGCCGGAGACATCACCATCACCGACGAGAAACTCGCGTTCCTCAAATCCTGGAAGCCGGTCCTCTCAGACCCGGACGCTCAAATCGCTAATCTGAGCCCGACCGGCTGGAAAGAACTACACGAGATGGGTACAATGTGGCGCCTTCGTTACCCCGACCTGTACAAGTACAACACCGCTTTTACTATGTGGGCAAACTACTATACGTCTGGTCCACGCGTTCGGGACAGCGCACGCCTGTTCGCTCAAGGTTTCGTGGGGCCAAACGCTACGGACCTCACTACAATCTATGCTCTAAACGCGAGCGACCCTGCCAGTTGGGGCAACACTCTTGCTCCCAGCGACCTGTGCAAGGCCTACGATGACGCGGGTGGAGGTCCTGCCAAGGATACGTGGGACTCTATGTACCTTCCCCCGATTGCCGCCAGGCTCAACGGGAAGATTCAAGGCCTGAACCTTACAACGAGTCAAGTCGACCAAATACCCTACTTGTGTGGATTCGAGACCCAGATCACCGGCCGTCGAAGCCCCTTTTGCGATATCTTCACACAGGAAGAGATCTTGCAGTATGAGTATGCGCAGGATTTGCGTTATTGGTACGGCACCGGTCTGGGATCCGATATCGAGAAATACCAGATGTTGCCTATCGTTGACATGACTGTGCAACGCTTTGTTGATGGTCCAGATGCGACCTACAAGACGGGCAATGGCACTTTTGTCCCTCCAAAGATCATGGCCAATTTCGCAAATGATGGCCAAATCAACCAGCTGGCCGCTGCGATCGGTGTTTTCGACAACCAACAGCAGCTTCCTGGTAACATGTCGTTGTCGGACCGACTCTTCCGCTCCTCTCAGGTCGTGAAGATGCGAGGAACTGTTGCATTCGAACGCCTCTCTTGTCCTGCTGCTGCCCACAATAGCACATACGGCTCTGGCTACGCAACCAACTACAACGGCACCGCCTCTGAAGAAACGTACATGCGCATTCGCATTAACGAGGTTGTCTACCCTGTTGTGGATTGCACCAGTGGCCCTGGCTCATCTTGCCCCCTGTCTCAGTACCAAGATATCATCAAGGCGAAGCGTGCAGAGGCCGGTGACGTGACCAAGCTGTGCAACATGACGGGCGAAGGCCTTGCGGCACAGCCAAAAGCAACCTTTTTCTTCGACAACACACTTCCGTGGCAGACAGTTGTTAAGCCCTAGACATAAAATCAGGTGTTCGATAGTCCAAAATGATGTTATTCATCGCTGACGTTCCCACGTATGCTTCTGTGCCGCTTGATGTGTTTTTGTGCCGCAATAAGGCTGTTGTCAACGTTGCGCAATTGAAATGGGCCGCACTCTCTACCCCAAGCACGGTCGAGTTGCTGAGATCGCAAGGCTCAACGTGCATCGCATTCATACAGCGGCTTCGGCCACCGACGATTGACATGTACAGGGCGCGCGCGTTCGTCACTAGGACGCGCCAACCCCACTTTCCAGCTATTGGATCGCGCCTGTGCACAAGACGCACGCCCTACACCCAAATGACCCTCCTCCGCTCTTCACGCAAGCCAACCTGCACATCATGCAAGACAGAATACCAACAAGAGCTTCAAAAACGTACGCCGCGATCCTGCGGCGTCGTTGGCATATGTCGATGTGACCTGGCTCTCGTACGACTAGCCTTTTACACCCGTGCCTCAGGAGTACAACACTCGCACCGCGCATTCTTTGCTACCCGTCGGGAAGTCCACATGCACTAGCGTATTCCGGGAGAAAGTGGCTTCAGCGCAAGTCTCCCATTGGACCCATCTGGCGCAATGCTGGCGTCAAACTGTCTCCACATTGCGCCTCTCAGGCGTATGGTCATGTTTTCGACAAGCAAAGCCGCTGAAACAAGCCTCCCACGCCTTTCAGGTCAATTACCGAAACAGTCAGCACTGCGACGGCAAAGTCATGTTGGTCCTTGGAGTCATAGGGTGTGCGATTCTCGGATGTCTGAATCGGTACAGTGGCCTGAGCTGTGGGTTGAGTATAAAGATGGTGTTGTACGCAGCTGGAGTGATCTAGACATTACCAGCACATTCTTCTTCTTACAACGTGGGCTCAAACAAACCGACAGATTTGGTACCAGTCCCACAGAAACGACAAAGCACCCTGATCCACAGTAATCAAACGAGTACGTTTGCCATCATTCTCGACACGCAAGCTGCAAATCGGCATCAACATCGGCGTATCGAGCAAGGCTCATATATACAGCACTACGTGGCCTCTAGAGCCATCTGGATCAAAAGAATCGCACTCAAGTTCTCACATATCGAAGATGTCAGGCTCTTCCGCGACGACTCCTCGCACCTCTTTCGAATACATCAAGACACCAGTCCAGGCATCTTCATCATCAACGTCTGTTGTTTCGTCATCTGCATCTACACTGAAGGAACCGAGCAAAGCTCGGGGCCTCTGGAACTCCATCAAGCGCCACGCGAAAGAGCACCATGAGGGCATGAACGCAGCATATGCCACATACTATGGCTCAGGCGCGAACGCGAATGGACAAGGGCAGGAAGTCTGGGAATATCGAAGAGGAAGCAAGGGAACGACGGATATGAAGCGACAATAGTGACAGATGTGTTGGCATGGTTCCGTGTTTCAGGGTTGGGTTCAGCAGCCTCGACATGCTGCATGAGGCTTATGTACTTCAATTGTATGTACTAGGGGGGTATTTGGCGTTGGAGTTCATGCGTATATACCTGTTTTCTTCCTTGAAGTACTATGTTTTGCCGAATCGCATGATGACTCTTAGTCACTTTATGTTGTGGCGTCGCTGCTGAACACGACAGCGGTATGTGATTCGGCTCACAGGTGAAGTGCTAATATAAGGCTTCCAACCCAGGACAGCCCGTGGAATTTTCTTAGACCCTCTTTGTGTTCGCCCGGAAGGGCGTATTATGGATTATCCTTGCGCTTCAATGGTGCACATGCGTTGAAACTATCATTACTACGCAGACCAGCGGATAAAACTCAATACAGCCGCCTCCAACATGCAACTATGCTATCTACTCCTGGCTCCTTTCTACTAGATCTTCGATCCCAGTTCTGACTCCCTCGATGATATCACGCATGACCTGCTCTTCCACAGCATCCTCAGCCCAGCAGAAGTTCAACGTCGCGTTTCCATCGCCACCTGTTACAACATTGAGTTTCAAAGCATTGGCCACAATATTGGGAGATTGGCTGAACACCATCCGACCGACAGTCCATACTCCTTCACTCTGAGTATGCTTCCATACTCCTGCACTGGACAGTTCTGCTGCAGACTTGCGAGGCTTACCTAATTGGTCGAGGAAATGTTGCTGCATAGAAGAGATGTATTTCAGCAGCGCAACGGGGTTATCGACGCCAGATTTGGCGACTTCTGTGGATATGGTGGATTTCACTGCGCGTGCAGTGTCCCATGAGAACTGCTGTAAGACACCTAGTCCTGCTGAATCTTTGAGTTTGGGTTCTCGAGATGCGACGCGCTCGTGAAGGTAGGCATATTCGGCAATCGTCATGGTCATCTGCTGTTCCTCCACGTTAAGAATTTTCTTTATCGATATCGGGCCGTCAATGTGAAGCCTCTCACAGTCTTCTGCTGAGAGGCAGGTGAAGAGTGACGCTGCGAGAAGGCATTGCAACGTTGCTGTTACGCTTGTCTTTTCAGATCGGCTGACTCGAGCCAGCTTATCCGTAGTCGCTTTCGACAGGACTAGCGTGCGATAATGCGGTGGCGGAATCGGCGTAGCGTTCGGCTGTATAGCGTTGCCCGCCCATAGTTTCGGAGGTCGCTTTGCGAATACCGAGGGTAACAAGGCACCAAGAATGGCCTTGATGAAGTAAGGCCACGTTATAGTCATTGGATGTAAGTCCTCTAATGGCGGCGCTAAATCCGCAGACGAAGACTTGACAATCGCATCCGCGATGCTTTCCGGAGTGTTGAGGCCAGCCAGGAATGATTTGTGAAACGAGAAGGCTGACGTTCCGTCTGCTAGCGCATGGTGCCACATCCACGTCGCCATGAACTTGGTTGTGTCTTGTGGTGAAGTCAGGACCAGCAGCCGCCAGAAAGGC